TCCAAGCTGAAGTTGCATTTTAAAGCAGCATACCAAACCCTCTGTCTCTGCTCTGCAACATACCAGACTTTTAGACCCTTTAAAGCAGGACCTTTATTCAATGTGAATGACATGTATATATTTTAATCATTGGTGCACACTAATTCACTACACTGTTGATTAAATATATAAAAAATATGCTTTGAAAGGGGTTTTTCACCGGTAAGATAAAAATAATTGGTTTTACCCGAAGAAAAAGTACCTAGAATAATGAAAAAAAGGAGGGGGCCTGTGGGAGGAGTCCACGGGCCCCAAGAAGTGTATAAAAGAGGGCCATTTTTCATCATTTGTTCAGTTGCTTGCCGGCAGCCAACTCGTGTGTGATTCTTTGTATTTTGCAATAAATCACATTGGACCTGGACTTCAGCTGCTTCTGCCTGATTTTTGATCATTGTTTGAAGACTTCTCAACTGTTTTTTAAGAACTTTGAATTTTTACAAAACTTAGCTCCAATTTTAAGTCGTTAAAGGAATTTTTCCACAACAGACCCAGCTGCCTCTGCCTGATTTTTGATCATTGTTTGAAGACTTCTCAACTGTTTTTTAAGAACTTAGAATTTTTATAAGACTTAGCACCAATTTTAAGTCGTTGGGAGGACATTTTCCACGACAGTGACTTGCACAAATTAAACAATCTTCACAAAACCTTGTTGCTATTTGAGAAAAATTAACTGTTAACCAATTTTTATCCATCCATTTCCTGGTCCTCCCTTTTGACGCATGGTCCCCCATGGGTCAAAACACAAAAGGGATGGAAAAAATATTTTAGGTAACCAGAAAAAGAAGGAAAAAAGTAAAGTCTAAAAGCTCCATTTGTCCAGTTCGGATAACAAAGGATCTTATCTCAGCAAAAGGTGGGGGCATGCAGCAGGCTCTTTAGCAGCCCTGCAGTTCACAGGTTTTTGGCAGACAGCTAAGGAAATAGTTCAGCCTCATAAATCAGCTTAAACGGAATGATGAAGATTTAAGAAAAAAGAAGGAATAACAAAAAGCTAGACTGAGATAGCTTGAATGACTAAACTAAAGTATTTAATGATAGCAACATTTGAACATAATTAGTAAATTTTATGTGATTATATAAACCGTTATATAAATCTCCCATTTAAAACATGCTTTCTCATGTGTCAAAATAACAACAGTGTTTTATAGGTGTGATGATCTGGAAAGGAAAAGCATTTCAGATCCAGGGAAATTTAAAGGGGGCCCCTTATTTAATTTTAAAACACTGTTATGAGGTGGGACTTCCTCAGGTGTTGTTTACTGAATGCAAAATTATGAAATTAATTATTTTCAGGTATGACAAGGTGGGGGTACGAAAGGGGTCAGATTAGAATCACCCACAGTGTTTTAAGCAATGCTCTGATGGCAGTGTAGTAACCATCACAAACGCGCAGAATATGTGACAGTAACAGCATTTAATTTGGAGAAGAGAAGAAAAGGTAACTATTGCCAATTTGTTGCCAAATTATTGTAGCAATACAAAAATCTACAGTCTCCCAACTCATCCACTATTCATGGTTAAACAGACAAAGTGGATTGGAAAACTCCAGGGTGGAAGCCATTACGAATTTTCTTAGACGCCTTAGGTGATATAAAATAAAATATAATAATAATAAAAAACTCTCCGGAGGTCATATGTTATGAGTGGAGGAAACAGGCCTGTTTTATATTAGATAATCCTCAGAGATCTCTAACGCAGCATATCATTAAAGAAAGGTACCTATAGATGAGAGAAAGAACATTTTGCTATGGTAGGATACCGTATATCAGAGAAAGCTAACTAAAACCTAACCCAACTGTTATTGAGAGTTTTAGTTACTGGATATCCATTATTACATGAAAAAGGAATATCAATTCAAACATGAGATCAGCAACCCACCGGAGTAAAACATAAAAAAAATTGTCAGGAAACTAATATATGTCTCTAAAATGTACTTTGTGTGTGTGTGTTACTTGCAGTCTGTCGAACCGGGGGTCGCTCCAACGGCTCCCTCACTAGTTGGTAGAGTGACCTCGCTTCGGTGCCTGATACCCCCCTTGCTGAGAATGGCTTCTGCCTCATGGTTGTAGCCTCCTCTCTGTCCTCCCTGGCCTCCATGGTAGGGTGGTGGACCCCCATGATGAACTGAGCCTCTGCCACATCCTCCTCTGCCCCCATGTTTTTTGTGTGGGCAGTTTCTGGCCCAGTGATCAGCTTTGTCACAGATGTAGCAGAAACTATCATTTAGAGAGCTGTTCTTGTCTGAGCCTTGAGGGAACACCAGAAGTGACAAGGTAATAAAAGTTGTCATTTTTTAGAAAAGGATTTGTAGCCTTCGGTTGATAAGGTGGAGTTGGAGCAGAGGGCAGCAGGCTTGTGGTAAACTGGGATACAGGCTCGAGGTGCTCTGTTGGAGATGAACCTACGGCCACAACACCCGAAGCAGAAGAGTATAAGAGAAAAGAAGGATGTGCATTAGTAAATAGAACAACAGTGAATTTTCGTAAGTTGTTGCTGTCATTATATTATGTGTTATATTCTATTATTAGATGTTTTTCTTTTTCTTTTTAACTTCTTTAAATTTTGTTTTCAGCGCTCATAATCACTCTGGTTCCTTGTTTTCTCTTTTTATTTTGTTGCAACACTCTGTCTACTTTCCTTAGTAAGACCTACTGTCGTCTATTATTGTCTTCTTGACGACTTAAAATTGAAGCTAAGTTTTGTAAAATTCAAAGTTCTGAAAAAGCAGAAAAAGTCTCAAACAAAGATCCAAAAATTCAGGCAGAGGCAGCTGAGTCCAGGTCCAGGGTCTTTATTGCCAAAAACAGCACATTCACACGGAGCTGGTCACCGGTGAGCATCAGCTAACAAATGGTGCAAACAGCTCCCTTTTATACATTTCTTATCAATGGAAAACCCCCTTCAGAACATATTTTTTATATATTTAAACGACAGTCTTTGGTAAAGGTCACATTATCATTTATCTGCAAATCACGATGACATTCATAGCCACATCACATTCTTGTGAGAGCAGTCTCTCAGGCCATGAGGACATCTGGTGCACTTAAATCAGAAACTTATGACAGTTCAATCACAAACATGTTGAAACTAATCCTTTCCCTACTTCAAGCCATGTCAGTCTGGCCTAGTGTTCCCCCTTGTGTCCCAGTCAAAGCATCACCCTTTCTGGGACCAGTACTGCACAGTGTGCCTTGAAAATAACAACTCTTTTTATCACAAGTTGTATGGCCAAATTTTGCTGAGCTGGGCAACCTTGACATGTCAAATATTTCATTTTTATGAGCGTGCTTTCCTATCACTAAGGGGCCTCAACCCTGCGTTTTCCTGCAGATTCCACTCCTCTAGAGCCAGGTGCAACAGTTACACACACTCATTGCTCTGTTTTTCTCCTCTTGGCCTTGAATGGCTCTTATAACAGTATTTGTGAAAACAACTTTAAACTTATAAAACATTAGCTTTATTTTATTCTTATGATTAGTGCAGATTAATACACAACACTACAACCTCAACCTTAAAAAAGACTTACCCTCAGCCTATGAGAGGCCTACCTCGGTCAGTCTTTTGACTGCCTGCTTAATGTTATAACAATATATTTAGTTTTTTTTACCTTTAAAGGAGTTTGTTAGTTTTCTTCCTCTCTCAATCTCCTGAAGTTATTGTCCTGTCGAGATCGATCCACTCGGTGGAGCATCAGAAGAGTCCTCCTCCTCTGAAATGGCCTATTTGAGGTAGAGGAAAAACCCAGATGGTTTTGATGATCAGCCCTTCTTCTAGAATCCACAGAATGGACGGATCAGCGAAGAATCTTGTTTTCATGATGCCAATTCGTGAATTAAAAATGAGCACTGAGAGGCAATACGAAAGGAAGAAAAAGGTTTTATTTTACTCTGCAGAGGAGAACGAACACAAACAGCTGAACTGTCAGTGTGGCTCTAGTGAGGTAGCTGCCCACCGCTGCATATAAAGAGAATTCTCACACACAAACATTGAGTCTTCCCAAGAGAAACACTTCAGTTCACCAAAGACATGCATTTAGTCAGATAAACATTTCAGACAACTGTTATCTGTTCACACGTGAGAACCTTGAACACAGTAAGGACATGTTTATCTATGTTTCCCCTTATCTAAACTAGGGAGGAAACTTCTGCTTTTCAAACCTCCTTCCTTTTCCTACATCTCAGCATAAAGATTGGAACAAGGCTTCTAAATAATTACCCCTATTCAGGCACACTTTAGTCATTTTATTCACAAACAGTCCATGGAAAAAAATGATTCCACAAAACTTAAGTGAGAATTTATAAAAAAAAAAACACATTTAGAAGACATAAACATTGAAGGAAAGTATTTCCATATAAATGCGGATGTAGAGCAGTTCCTTGGTCGTTTAATGGGAGACCACATATTAGGTTTATTCAATGATGATTATTAAAGTGATGTGTGTTCATATGAAACATTGTAGAAATGAGATGCTCCACTCCTGTCTCAGGATCCAGTCAGGAGACCATCCTGCCTTGTCATTCTGATGGAGCGTCCTGTCTTCATGAACTGATCAATTGTCCCGTCAGAACAATACTCTGTTTGTAACCATGTGTCATGTTCTGTTAATAAAACGCTCTGCAGAGGAGGTCCGGCGGGAGACGGTGTGTTTGAGTCTGGGGTTCAACTGTCTCTCCTTCTGCAGAAGCCTTATGAAAATCCCTTACTGTGTATTTCAGTTCTTCCTTTTACAAAAACCTACATTTTCTGAACCCAACACCACATTTAATGGCCACATTAATGCAGCAACTAATTCGTCTATTTCAGCTTTTTTTTTATCAGTTCCCATTGTTTTATGGTCTGTTACATTTTAAGTAAATAATTCTTATTTTAATGGTGATCAGTCTGTTTCATTAACTTAAAGAATAATATTTAAATCTTGTTTCATGTTCTTATCAGTAAGTATTTCTGACCTTGTGTTCCAGAGATACCGCTGTTCCCGCCGTGTGAAACTGGTGGACATGTTAGACTGAAGCAGGAGGATCAGCAAATAAGTATGGATGCAGCAATGGGTAAACAACCAATCTATGTCAATGTAAAGCAAATTAATGTTCCACAGAAAAAGGTTTTCTGCCTTAACAAAAACTTACTTAGAATTTTGTAAAATTGGTTGTTACTTTAAAGACATGATTTCTTTCATATCAAAGTAATCTGTTTTATCTGTTTTTGCTATTATTTGTCCAGATATCAAGGATGCCCAGAGTTTGAATGTCCTCTCAAACCACAAGGAGGGGAAGGAAGATGAAAGCATCGACAATCAACATTCTCAGATTACCTCCAGGTTAGGAAAGACGTTCCCCTAAACCTTCCTCAGCTACAGTAGGTCCGATCATGCGTGGTTCCTTAAGGTGCGCTCTTCGCCCCCCCCCCTGTTATTTACAGGCTTCAGCTTAGATTCAGAAACATCCAAACATCTCTTACAGTCGGATATTTTCTCATGCCTTATAATTCTTAGTCCATGGCTGTGAGAGGTTAACATGGCAGTAACCAGATTGATATGTATAGAACTGATTCGAGTTTTTCGTTATCAATCTGGGACGGCCGCCGTTCATTCTGCTGATTGGGGGATGTGCCAGCTAGTACCCGACCTTCCATAATACACTTTCAGCCAATCGTATCAGCGTATCGATTATATATCTATCTATCTATCTATCTATCTATCTATCTATCTATCTATCTATCTATCTATCTATCTATCTATCTATCTATCTATCTATCTATCTATCTATCTATCTATCTATCTATCATCTATCATCTATCATCTATCATCTATCTATCTATCATCTATCATCTATCTATCTATCATCTATCTATCTATCATCTATCTATATGTATATGTATATATAGATATATAAAAAGGACTGGTTATCAAATATAAAAACAGGTTATTGCATAGGGTATTGAATAGTAATTACACATTAGATTAGGGGGGAACTTATGGCTTTTATAGTGTTGCATTGTGGATCATTACAGAGGATTTCTTTCACTTTTCCAGTCTAGAAAACTATTTGGACCTGAAGATCTGCATCTTGGAGGACTGGACCATTGAGGCAATCTCAGACCAAGGTAGAGATCCTGTTACTCTTGTGCTTTATTTCTTTTTTTATTTTAAGCTTCCTCTCTCCTAATCTGGCCTCCCTCTGCTCTAGTGGACGAAGACTACCCGGTTCACGAGCTGAGGTGCCCTTCAGGCCTGCGTGAGGCCGACTTCCTGAGGCTTCTGAGGATCACCTTCCCTCTGCTGGCCGCCGACACTCCCTTTGAGTCCTTTATTGCCGACTCTACCAAGAGGCTGCAGCCTCTGAAGGTGGACTGTTTTACACCGGAGCAGATCTGCAGGGCAGCCGGAAACTCTGCCCTCTACGTCCGAATAAAAGTAACACACCTGCAAAGCAGAGAGTGTAGAGAGTGAATGCACCGGTTGATTAATAAAGGCTGAAATAAAGGTTTCAATTGGTAAAATTAGACACTTTTCATTCAGTGTCCCCCTGAGGAGGAAGCAGGATGTGATGAAGAGCATGCTCCCATTGACAATGAAGGTTACGGCGAAGATGCTTCCCCCATCCAACCTCAATCTCCTAGCGACACCAGGTGAGCGATGACGCTGGCAGTGGATCTTTTAAGCTTAGATTTCATCCTTTGTTTTAATCATTCCTGTTTCTTTGTCTCAGAAACGAGGCTCCTCCTCTTCCTGCTCCTCCTCCTCTTCCTTCTCCTCAGAAGAATCCCGTTGATCAGAAGAGCAGACCCGATACCATCGTCCTCAGCGTCCGTGTTCTGGACAACCGTCTCATCGAGGTGGTCACAAAATCAGGTGAGTTTTCAGTTCATTCTTCATGGACCCGACTCCTGTTCCGGTCAAGGCGGCTCGTCTCCTTTTTATTTATTTCACAAACTGGTGTTGGATAAATATTTATACTGTATGTCGGGTTCATAAAATGTAACATGACACATGGTTACAAACAGAGTATTGTTCTGACAGAACAATTGATCAGTTCTTAAAGACAGAATGCTCCATCAGAATGACAAGGCAGGATGGTCTCCTGACTGAATCAGGAGACAGGAGTGGAGCTTCCCCTTGCAAAAATGTTTTATAAGCACACATACATTTTATATCATCATTTAATAAACCTAACACTGTACATTTAGTGATGATCTGTTTGTTAAAGTGCCACCTTTGACCTGATACAGCCTGTTATAAGTGACCCGATTGCTTATCCATAATCCATAAAGGAGGCTGCAGCCAAATGATCATGAACTGCTTCAAAAACCATTCTGTGTCCAACTGCCAACCTTTGGACGTTATAATGGAAGATCCTGTCCACATTCTTATCAGGAGTCCCCCACCATTAGATGTCCCCACGCCTCCATTGGAGACTGATAAATAGAGGTCAAATAAACAGTTAACCACAATCCGTGTGTTGTTCTGTGTTGGAGGCACATACCAAATAACAAGAAGAATTATTGACATGAGTGTGTCATGGTTTTTAGGATGTTTTGCCCACATGCAGACACAGACAGGGGCACCAGGAGTATTTTAAGATGTTTAGTAGACTACACACAAATAAGATCAGTTCAGAATGGGAGCCGCAGGCGAGGTTCAGAACGTCAGTGTTCGGGGTTCTGTGGGAGGAAAGAGGAAAAACAGCCTTTTCCACATGGAAATACCGGTGTTACGTCGAGCTGCGTTTCCCCATCAGATACGGTTTCCCCTGCATCTCCACACAGCTCAGGCGGCACGATTCACTGCGCAAGCGACAGGAAACGCGCATGCTCGCTAAAGACGCGTAACAGCCACCCTGTGCTCGCGCCACAGGGGAACTACAGAGAGCGAGAACGATAAAATGTTAGCCTATATGTAGAAAGTAGGGCTGGGCGATAATTCAATAACGATATGTATCGATCGATAGACGTGTGGCGCAATAGAAAAAAATAGGCTCGATAAAAGTTCGATAAAGAAACGCAGTTTTCCTTCCTTCTCATTGTAGCCTAGCATGTAGGTTTATGCTAGTCACTACTTCCTCCCAACCAATCGCAATCGCGGACCCAGGCATGGCGTCACAAAGCGCCGCCCTCTCATACGACAACACAGAGCACATGCAGCAGATGTCACAGCAAGGAGAGTCAGAGGAAATTGCTCCGAAGAAGGGTTTTTATAGTTCGCCAGTTTGGCAGTATTTCGGTCATGGCAAGTCAGACAAAAAACAAACCACAGTCATCTGTAAAATGTGTCGGGAACCAGTGAAAACAAAGTCTGATAACACAACCAACTTTTTTTTTTTTTTATCATCTCAGCCGCTCACACCCGCAGGAGTACGAGCTGTGTAGGCCCCGCCGCGGCTCTCCTCCGAGGAATCTTCGGGAATTTCGGGAAAATATATATATAAAGTTCTGGGCAGTTTCCCACGTAGTTCTAACAATTGAGATAAAAATGCTGAGGGGCCAGCAACTTCAAAGTAATAACTCAGGTTAAAGCAGGAAACTAAGCTGAACCAGGTTTATTTGTTATATTTATTTTGGTCACTTTAGTTTATTCTTTGTCAGTATTTAATAACATAACTCAGGTCTTTTAAGTTATTTTTCTTTAAAACAATTCTGTTATGGTTAAAAAAGTTGGTTAAATAAATATTTAATTGGAAGTCTGTGTTTGTGTTCTTTATTAAAATTAAATCATTTAGCAATATCATAAAAGGTCCAGGCAGAGCTGCACATGAAATATGGTTTCAAATCTTTTCATATCGATATCGATTAATATGCATTTTTTTTTATCGATAAGCTTTTTTTCTATATCGCCCAGCCCTAGTAGAAAGGGAGAAATCGGGATGGATACATGGATAGATGTATGTTGTAGTATCTATAACAACTCAAACACACAGGATTTCAGAATCAGACATCCGCATTTATTAATTTCATACACTCACTAGATCTGAACGCCCTGTTAAAAAACTTCACACCCATGAGTAGAGATAATGCAGCCTGATGATATTTACACCGCATCAGATACCTAAACCCCATGTTAAGCAGGGGAACGCTATCTGACTGGGTTTATAGGCCCGTCAGATAGCATTGAAAAATTTGTTTTATATTCAGCAAAGCTACTCCTTTTTTTGTCTTTTTCCAAAATGTTTGTTTAAGTACATTTTTTTGAATAAGTAAAACATTTTTTAATAAGAATTAAATCCATCGGTTGCATAATAAGTGTATCTCTGAGACCAATCCCTCACGTTGAGACATGTAATAAAGCATGGCTAAATATAGCTGCCCATTTATATAGTTCTTTGCTAGGATAGGTTTATTATCTGCTCATACATAGATGTCATCGTGTAATTAATCTAAACGTTTTATGCACAAATACTTTTCTTGTTTGTGGAGATATTATTGTTGCATATCGTTTAATATTGTCAGGTCTAGATTAGTAGTTTGTTCTATGGTCAATACCTGCATTTGTCTCAATGTTGTTGCTTTTGCTGTTTAATCTGCAAATGCATTTCCTCAAGAGGTTTTATCTGTCCCTGAAGTGTGTGCTGCACATTTTCCTATATAGCTATGGTTATTGGTAACTGCTCATCAGCTAACAAACCTGTTAGCAATGCTGCATGTGCTACTGTGTTTTTTTTGGGGAATACCCAAATTTTCATGTGTGAGAAAGTTCTTTATGCATGGGGTGGGCTGGTTTCCCTGGGGGGCGTGTGTATGATTTTGTAAGGTGTAAATGTATGTACTGAGCTTGCCGCAGTCATAGAGCCCTATCTCCCCGTCGAGGACATTAAATAAATTTGAACCTTATTTCTTGCAAGAAATGCATCCTCCTCAGCTTCCTATAACCTCAGTGTGAACTCTGGATAATGCATACGGACCGTCAGTAGAAAGGGTTGCTTTTTTCCCTGTCATTACCTTACATGTTTCAGTTTCTGCTACTAATTATGCTGCTTATGCAGCTGTGCCAGACACTAAGCTTTGTTTAATTCTGCAAAAGGCCTCCTCTGCTTCAGGAGTCCATTTCAATGGTGATCTGGCTCGAAGGACCAATTAAATGTTAGGTTTAAAGACCCAAACACTTCTCTAAAAAGTCTGGGGAGGAAGGAAAAGAGACATTAGATTCCTTTTACTCTAGAGGAGACCAGCAGAGATGGTATTGTAGTGTATTAATCTGCACCAATGATTAGAAATGAAACAAGAATTAAATGTTTTTAAATGTTTAAAAAGAGTTGTTTTTATAAATTCATTTATGTAGGCCAAAGGGAGAAATAGAGAAGCAGTGTGTGTATGAGTCTGCACCTGGCCTTTTGAAGTTTGGATCCAAGCCGTTGTAGTGAAAAAGGCACACTCATTAAAAATGAGTTATTTGTCATATCAAGGTTGCACAGCTCAGCTGAACTCGGCTAAACCAACTGTGATGAATTGAGTTGTCATCTTCAAAACACACTGTGCAGTAATGGTCACAGAAAGAGTGATGTTTTACTAGGACTTGGAACACCAGGGTTATGCTGACCTGGTTTGAAGTAATATTATAATCGTAGATCACATTAGAAGAAAGGCTTAGTTTTGACGTATTATTGATTGAAATTGTTATATATGTTTCTGATTTAAGTGCACCAAATGTCATCATGACCTGAAAGACTGTTCTCAAAGAAATGTTATAATCATAAGTTACATTGGATAAAAGCTTGTTTTGAAAGATTAATAATTAAGAAGATGATGTGTTTTTGATTTAATGACAGTATATGTCATCATTATTTGCAAAGAAATGTCACCATAACCTGAAACAAAGACTGTTGATTAAATATATAAAAATATGCTTTGAAAGGGGTTTTCCACCAGTAAGATAAAAATAATTGGTTTTACCCGAAGAAAAAGTACCTAGAATAATGAAAAAAAGGAGGGGGCCTGTGGGAGGAGTCCACGGGCCCCAAGAAGTGTATAAAAGAGGGCCATTTTCATCATTTGTTCAGTTGCACGCCGGCGGCCAACCCGTGTGTGATTCTTTGTATTTTGCAATAAATCACATTGGACCTGGACTTCAGCTGCTTCTGCCTGATTTTTTGGATCATTGTTTGAAGACTTTTCTGCCTTTTAAGAACTTTGAATTTTTACAAAACTTAGCTCCAATTTTAAGTCGTTAAAGGGGTTTTTCAACGACAGTATCAGTTACAATCTCCCTTTTCCCCAAAGCACTTCTGCTGTCTTCCTCACTCTTTGTTGGAAAAAGGGACTCCGTAGTTACAATAGATCATGCTGTAACTCCAAAGGAATGTGAGGGGAGGCAGTTGCAGCAGCATATAGTGATACACATACATTTCTTCATGCAGGCAGTGACCTTGAGTTATACACATTAAAAAAATTCAATTCCTGGCACCTGCAAAGGAATACTTTCACAAGAGTCTGCTAAATCATCTGCTAATCATCATTGAATAAACCTTTAGGACGAGTGTGGACAGTGTGAAGTTGTGGAAAAACTGAAACTTCAGGCAATTCTTGCAAGGAAGGCTTTATTTTATTTTTACCTTTGCAGACGGAGAGAAAAAGCTCTGACTGGAGAAAGCTCAGTACATATATTTATACAACAACTCCCGACACACACTCACGCCCAGGGGAAGAACCAAGGACATAGATTTTTCACTAGCCAGATAAACACTTCACAACAGCTGGCTTCCGTATGAGGGAGTCTTACCCCCGGCTCACACCGACTCCGGTCTTACCGTTGCGGTGCGGTGGGTGCGGCGCCGCAGTGATTCTAAGTCATTAAAAAGACGTAAACCTCTCTCACCGGCTGCTGAGCTGTCCGGCTGCGGTTACCGAGACACTCCGGCGCTGCAGAAAATTCCGCAAGAAAGCTATCCTTGCGGCGTGCCGGAGCCCTCCGCAACAAGCTCTCGCAAATATCCTTATTTGGGCCGTGTTATCACGTGAAGTTACGTGAACTCAAGTGAACTTCTGTTCTCGCGAGTTAAATCTCCGGACCTGTTGCCGGAGCTGCAGAGCCGCACCGCACCGTAGTCAAAAGGGCGGTGTGAGAGGGGGTGTGCGGGAGTTGCAGTCTCCGTCGGCTCTGTAACCGCACCGGAGCCAGTGTGAGCAAGGGGTCAAGCACCTTTAAGAGCATGTATCTATATTTCACCCTTGTCATCTCGACTACTAACTCCCTGCATAACATTCCAGCATAGAGACTGGTTCAAGATTTCCCTAGAAGGAAAGGCACACTCTAATATTTCGTCTCACAATAGGAAGTCATTTCATTCCTGCGATCGACTGCTTGATTCAGATTTCCTCCGTTTCAGTGCTGAGGAGGTGCAAACCCAGGAAGCTCAGGTGTCCGGGCGGCATGCAGGAAGCAGAGTTACTGAAGCTGCTGAGGTCCACCTTCCCAAAGCTGCGTACAGAGAAGCCGCTGGAGTATTTCGTCACCGACAGCCTCAGGAAGCTGCTGCCTCTGAAGCTGGAGGCCGTCACCCCAGAGCGGATCAGCGCCGCCGTTGGGGATTCTAGCCTCTACGTCCGAGTGAAGGTACGGCGTTTGGTTCCTTATCAAAAGGTCAGGAAGCGTTGAAAAAAAATTTGGGGTTTTTATTTTTCTCGGTGGATCCGTTTTATTTTCTCAGAAAGATCGCTCGATCAGAGGGAGAAAAAAGAAGGTGAACAAGGCTGCTGATCACAAAGAAGACAGGAACGACTTTTCACCCGCATCAAATTGGACGGCAGCGGAAAACCTGTGAGTCTGTTGTCTGTTCTGGACGCTTTATTCCAAACTGACTTTTACTGATTCCCTTTGATTCCCTCAGAAATGATCCCCAAAGAATTCAATTTACATAATCAATGTTATTTGTCTGGCTGTATATACGACAGGCGGGTGGAGGGTTTTTGTTTCTATTAATGTTCAGGTGATTTTAGTTAATTTGGGAAATTGATGTCTGGTTTGGTTTGATGTTAACTAGTCTCTTTTGTGTTTATTTAGTTGATTAATTTATTGTTTTTAAAATTTTCTGAAATAAATTCCTATTCAAGGCCTCAGAGTGGCGAAGCAGACGGCTCCATAAATCTCAGGATTTACCTCTTGGAGGACTCCGGGATCGAAAACGTCACAGACGAAGGTATGTTAGCGAGGCAGAGCCGAAGCCCAGCAGATGGCTGGAAGTAAAGTGTGTAGAGAAGCATTTTTTCCACCTCAAAAATATATTTTTGGAAGAAAAAAAAACATGATCATACATTGCTAAACATTCCTTGGTACGTAACGGAATACATTAGTCAGTGGATGGTAGGAAAGGTTTTGACATTTCAAGTTAATTCAGGCATCAGTAAACGCAGGGTTCGTACGGGTGCTGGAAATCCTTGAAAATGCTTGCATTTTGACGTTGTGTTTTCAAGGTTTGAAAAGTGCTTATATTTTGGATGAAATGCTTGAAAATGCTTGAAATTGTAACTATTTCTTTCGCAACAAATCCCTATCTAACTGAATCGTGTGTTTATTAAATGGAGAAATAAAATGTTGGAGAGCCTGAAAATGAAACCTGCTCGCTTATGTGTGACTGCGATCTGCCAGTCTATTTCCATGTGACTCCGCCCCCATGAAACCACCAACTGCACCATGCCGGGAGGTTGTCGTTTCAATGAACGTTGGCTGGAAGATGAAAAATACAAATTATGGATTAAACGGGGACAAACCCCATGAGTTGCCTCTTGTAAAGTCTGCAAAAAAAGATGTGCAGCTTTTCACAATGGGCGAGTCTGCGCTGTCGAGTCACATGAAGGGTAAGTCATAGACTTTTTAAGTAAGCCAACTGAAGTAGCGTAGTACACGTTAACGTTAGCGCCTATTTGTTTACGCTAGTAACTGCTAGCTAGGAATTCACAGGCTAAGTTACTGAGTGACTGAGATTACGGTGTGATAATATAATGTTAGTATTGCAGTGTTTCCAGCAGCAATATCTTGGCGAGGCGGCCGCCTCGCCAAACTCACGCTACCGCCTCGCCAACGTTACAAAAAAAAACAAAAAAACGAAGTTTTAATTCATTGCCAGGCCCAGACCTTAAAACAGCATTGATAACTCTACGGCTGATAATACTGAATTGCGACACCCTCTGGTTGGTTATATTACTACGCCATGGCAGAGGAGTAATTTTCTTTGATCATCCCCCCCCCTTACCCCCGGCAGTCATCCGTGCAAAACTGGTTCCGGCCGACTACACTAAATAATAATTTTGACTATGTATTGGTATGTAATTTACGGTGGTGTAAGGGGCTGGAAAAAGTTTTAAAATGGATCTTGAAAGTGCTTTAAAAGTGCTTGATTTTGACTTTGGAAAAGGTGTACGAACCCTTTAAACGGCTTTAGTCGACTGATCGTAGAGCTTATTGGTGATTTGTCGGTTGATGTGGAGCAGCAAAATATCAAATGTTCCAACTCCAGCATCTGCTGCTTTTAAAGCGCCTCGGCTGCTCATGAGGCGCTGCTCCTGCTGCTGGTGATGCACTGCAGGACCTTTTGAATGCACGTTAACTATAGACTCTTTATAATAACCGGCTGCTTCTGCTGCTTAAATCATGTTCGGTGTGAATGTAGCATAACCCCTTGCTCACACTGGCTCCTAGGGTTGGGAATTGAAAAGATTTTCACGATTCCGATTCCCTTTTCGATTCTATGAAACGATTCGATTCTTTATCGATTCTTTTTTCGATTCCAATTTGGGGGAAAAAGGAGAACAAACAGTTTGATTATCAGCATCAACTGTGTTTACTTAACTATTGCACAATCTTACAAAATCAACAAGATCAAGATGTCCACAGGAAATGTGAAACTGGAGTAACATCTGTGTTTAAATGAAAAATTAATACAAGAACAAACTTAATAACCAACAATGTCTAATAACAAATGATGGGATAATAACCTATTTTAATGACAAAAAATACTAATTATAAAACAGTAGTAGGGAAAATTAACAGTTATTTTGCAGAAAGATGAGCATATCTGCTTTTTCTGGAAGGATACGGGATCTTTCAGGGCTTATGGTGTCTCCAGCCGTGGAGGACACCCTCTCAGATGGGGTGGAGGAAGCCTGCACACAGAGGTAGTTTTCAGCCAGTCCAGATAGCAAGGGCAGCGTATCTTGCTTGTTCCACCACCACAGTGTGGCGCTATCCCTGCAGGGGATGGAGGGCAAGCTTTTATAGAGCTGGATTTCCTGATCTACCCTCTGGGCTAAGGAAAGACGGGGCTTTGATTCACAAAGTGACCGCAGCTCGTTGTCTTCCTCCTCGAATAGTTCTTCCAACTTGCGTAACTTGCGTAACTTACGTAACGTACGTAAAAAAACGTGACGTAAGTCGTGCTCCCCAGAGCCGGCGCTCTAGGCTCTGGTGCTGCGGGAATCGAAAAAAGAATCGTTCAGCGAGCTGCCAAACGATGCCATGGAATCGGAAAATACGGAACCGGTTCTGAACAGGAACCGGTTTTCGATTCCCATCCCTACTGGCTCCGGTGCGGTTACCGAGCCGACGGAGACCGCAACTCCCGCACACCCCCTCTCACACCGCCCTTTTGACTACGGTGCGGTGCGGCTCTGCGGCTCCGGCAACAGGTCCGGAGATTTAACAGAAGTTCACTTGAGTTCACGTAACTCCACGCGATAACACGGCCCAAATAAGGATATTTGCGAGAGCTTGTTGCGGAGGGCTCCGGCACGCCGCAAGGATAGCTTTCTTGCTGAATTTTCTGCAGCGCCGGAGTGTCTCGGTAACCGCAGCTGGACAGCTCAGCCGCCGGTGAGAGAGATTTACGTCTTTTTAATGACTTGGAATCACTGCGGCGCCGCACCCACCGCACCGAAACGGTAAGACCGGAGTCGGTGTGAGCCAGGGGTAAAGCGGCGGCTTTCTTCAAACATTGTAGCATCAAAGTTTCCAAATAAGGTGATAACAGGAGGGTCTATCCCATATCTAACATGAACACAGATTACTCTCATTATCAAGCCAAAGCGTAGCTGTTGGAATGTCAGTACAAGAGTTATTTCAGCTACTTATGTCAACACAGGATGACAGTAGAGAGAGACAACAGAAACAGGATAGCAGAGCCTCAACCTCAGCAAGAAAACTTATTGGCTGTCTTAAAGTTGAAGTCTGTAAGTTTTTAAAAATCACTTTTTTGTCATATTGGCTAAAACTGTCCCTATGCCCAGACAGCAGTACATGTGATATGTAACCTGTGAAAAAAACTGCTTCAATTGGTCCCGCCTACTGCCTGTATTTCAATCTGGAAAGAATATTTCGGGACGAGTCAAAACAACCAATCACAGCCAGAGGAGCGTCTGATGGAGGGTCAATCACAGCTCACACAATTTTCAGTCGAAGTCTGCTCTCTTCTCAATGTTACAGACTGCAGCTTTAAAAGGCGCTAGATGATGTCATCGCCTACTTAGAATACTTCATGCAGAGTTCCCACAGATCCTTAAAAAGCCTTAAAAGGCATTGAATTCTTCAATATAAAATCAAGGCCTTAATTGGTATTAAAATGTCTTAAATCAGTCTTTCATAGGTCTTAAAATTGTTACCACATAAAAAATAGGATTTTATTTTTGTAATCCATATTAAACAATAAAATAATTGACAATATTTTTCTTACATTTACCGAACCGCTCACTGTAACCATCATAACATAACCATACATTGTGGCCGGACCTTGGTGTGATGTGCCACTAACTTTTTATCTAGACAACATGGTGAAGTTTGAAATTCAATGAAAAATAGGCTATCCATCCGAGAGTTTTCTGCATGGCTAAAACCACTGCCACGGAATGTAGATGAAGCACGATGGGAATCAAAGCAGCAACCAACAGCGCCAGTAGAACCAAATGTCAGGATGTTTGGCGGTTGGCCGACAATGAAAGTAGAGATTGAGAAGGGAACAATGCAAAGTTAGTGAATTCAGTTCAGTAGTTGTTAAAAGTATATCCGTTATTTGTTTGTTTTTAGCTTTCTTCCTATATGGAAAGTGTTTCCAAATTTGAAACGTATCTACTGGGCCAGAAAGTAATGGTTTATGTTAAAATAAACATTTGGGGTAAATTTGTCGCTACCAGGTTTTTCTTGTGTTTATTGTAATGTTCTAAAATGTGTATTTTAAGTGGCATTAAAAAGTCTTGAATTTAACTTTCCTTATGTTGTAGGAACCCTGTCATGTCATTTTTATTTATTTTTTTGGCTGTCTGTCGTGGATATCCTCCCAACGACGTATAGATTTATGTTAAGGCTTATAAAAATTCTAAGTTCTTAAAAAGCAGTTGAAACGTCTTCAAACAATGGTCAAAAAACAGGCAGAGGCAGCTGGTTCATAGGGGGGGCTCGGGGAGGAGCCCCCGAGCCCCCCCTATTTTTACGTAATTTTAGGCACTTTTCCAGGTGTATCTTTAATATCTTTTTATCTACCGGTGGAAACCCCCCAAAGTACAATTTGTATATATTTTAATCAAAGCCTTTAAAGGCCATGGTGATACACATTGTAGTTTCATTAAAAACTTCACATATCAGCATAACTTTGATGTTTATCATTGACATGTCAAAACAACGTTTCATTAAAACATCAAGCATAACTTTGATGTTTAAAATTTCATTAAAACATCACACAGCGGCATAACTTTGTTGTTTAACCTTGACATGTCAAAATAACTCATCCTTGGGTTTTCCCAATGCCATATTTCGTCCCTCCTAATCTTATCTCAACCTTCAAACAGCCATGCACATATTACTTTTCTTAGACTTCAAACAGCCATGCACATATTACTTTTCTTAGACTTCAAACAGCCATGCACATATTACTTTTCTTAGACTTCAAACAGCCATGCACATATTACTTTTCTTAGACTTCAAACAGCATGCACATATTACTTTTCTTAGACTTCAAACAGCCATGCACATATTACTTTTCTTAGACTTCAAACAGCCATGCACATATTACTTTTCTTAGATACATGTTGAAGCACACCATTTGACCATTATAACGCGAATATATTTATTGTGAGACATTTATCCACTATATTCTATTCATGGTGCAGTATTAATTCACTAAATGTCCAAGTAGGACAGAGAGAGATTATTATT